AAAATTCATCTGGCTCAAATTGTTAAAGAGTGGTTCAGGAAGCACAAGGAATCATTTCTACACATTAACTGGGCACCACAGATTCCTCACTTTAACTGCACTCAAATACTTTGGGATGTGCTGGGGAAGACTTTATGGAGTGATTTGACTCTTCAGTCATCAATACAATATTTCAGTGAAAACATTTAGGCAGCTCTGGACAGAAATAAAGGTTGTCAAAACACTGCCGTGAGCCGTAAGAGCCGTAATCATATTAGCTAATTTGAAACATCTTGATTTCGATCTACCGTTTTTGCTGAGTCTTCTGTTTCTTCTGTTGGATGCCTTTCACACTCACGGCTTAAGAATAAAAGAGAAATGACTGAGATATAAACACTGAGCAATGTGCATACATGGAGCACATCATATGGTAAGCGTAAACTCAAAAGCATGCTTGACATGAGCACCAATGAGGTTTGTTTGTCAAGCTAGCATGGTTGAGCTTCTGTGTACACATTGAATAATGTTTATGAAATTTTTTGACTTTCAAAATGATGAGAGAATATTAAAAATATATTTATTTGTATTCATAACATGAACTAAACACTTACGGGTTTGGAAAGACATGAGGCTGAGTAGTGATGCACAATATTAGATTTTTGACAATGAAAATATTGTTAAAATATTAATCGGTTATTATCAGTTATTGTTATTGGTAAAATCCACTATCGGTCGATAATGTCGAATGATTATGAAATAAATGTAAAATGTTTTTTTAATTGTTGGCCACAATTATTGCCAGCCCTAGAAATTCTTAGGAATAAAATATCTCTGAAGTATATTCCCATTCATTTTTTTTTTTTTTTGCACACCAGGGTGACTAGGAGTATGAAAGTATCTAGCCATGACTTCCTGTTCTACATGATTATAAATATGAGGAACACAAAAGTCAAATTTCCTTAATCATCTATTACAAGTAGTAAACCCAAAGAATATAGTTCTGATGTGCAGAACACGATTGTCAAGCTTCACAAAATAGAAAGTGGATGTCAGAAAATAGCTTAATCATTGAAAATTCCCATTTCCACCATCAAGGCAATAATGTTCCAACTATGTCTTAATCAACTAAAGATGTTACAAATCTGGCTCGAAGAGGATGTGTGTCTATATCTTTCTAATGCACAATGATGAGGAGAGTTTGAGTGGACAAAGACTCTCCAAGGATCACAGCTGGAGAATTGCAGAAATTAGTTGAGTCTTGAGGTCAGAAAGTCTAAAAGAAAAAAAAAAGAAAAAAAAGAAAACAGCCCCTACAACACTACATCTTGTTTGGGAGGGTTTCAAGAAAAATCCTCTTTGTCCATCAGGACAATGATCCAAAACAAACATCAAAATCAACACAAAAATGTGTTGAGCACAAAATGAAGCTTCTGGAATGGCCGTCCCTGTTCCCTGACCTGAACCCTATAGAAAATGAGTGGGGTGAACTGAAGAGAAGCAGCACCAACATGGAGCTGGGAATCTGAAGGGTCTGGAGTGATTCTGTATGAAGGAATAGTCTTTGATCTCTTGACTGGTGTTCTCCAAACTCTTCAGGCATTATAGGAGAAAACTCAGAGCTGTTATCTTGGTAAAAGGACATTACAATAATTAGGTGCCAATAATTGTTGCCAACATGAACTAAAGAAAAACATTTATTTCATTATGAGACTTTCCCCCCACTTTCAATTGTTTTACTTCAATGATAGGTTAGAATTTTGTGCATTTTTTGAATAAAAGATCAAAAGGATAAACGATGCAGATTTATTTTTACAGCCACCTTTCCTCATATTTTCCAAGGGTGCCAATATTAGTGGAGGGCACTCTATATATATATATAATACCAATACTGTTTCAGTATTGAATTTCAATACAGAATTTCACATTTCTCAATAACAAAAAGCTAATATGCTTAGATTCCACAAATCTGATCTATAATTTTGACCTTTTCGTTTTCTTTTCTTTTTTTGTTGTTGTTGTGTTTTGTTACAGATACTGGTTCTAATTCCATTTTTAAAGGTTAGAACGCGTTTAAGAAAAATACACTCAATACTGTGAACTGAATTTGGGAAATTAAAAACTTGTGTGTCCTAGAGAAAATCATAGAGATTTTTTATGCATACAAGTACAAGATGAGTATAAGTACTGTATGTGCAAATTAAAACGTTTTCATTACTGTTGTGATGGTCAATATTGTTGAAGCACATTGCATTACACACAGATGACCTTCTCAATAAAAATGTTGCAACCCATGCAGGGATCTACAAAGTGATGCATCAGCCAACAACTGCATGGAGGACAAGCAGTGCCACTTAAAATAAAAAACAATTGAAAGTGTTGATTATAAAAAACAGAAATTATCATATTATAAAAAAAATGCACAAAAAAAAAAAAACTTTTCAAATTGACAAATAGATTTATTTAAAACAAATTAATGTATGTTTAAAAATGCAGCTAAATATAACAATAATAATAATAAATTGATAATTCTAATTGCTTTTCTTAATCTATTCACCAAATACTGTTTAATCATTCTGCAAAAACTAACGTTATTTATTCATAAAATAAATGTACATAATATTTTAAACATTAATTAAATATTTTTAAAATTTAAGTAAATTTCTTTTGTTTTGTTGTTACAAATAACCATTTATTTGTCCATTTGAAAAGTTCATTTTTAACCATACACTCCAGTCTCATGAATCCACTTCAGTCAATTTTGTGTGCCAAGAGCCAAGTCAGAATAAAATGCTTATTCAAAGACCTCAAACAACACACCAATGGATACCTTCCAACATGCCAGTGTAACAGAAAAGCTACATCTTTTTGCAGCTTTCTCGGTGCAAAGCAAACACAATCGACAAACATAAAACATAGGTACAAGTGGCTGTGATAGCCACAAAATGTCTTTACATGTATGCTTGGAATGGCCTGCTTGTATACTGTCTCCCTCCGTTGTGATATTTTTTCTTAAGGTTTTTTCCTTAGTAGCCACAGTAGCATTCTCTGAAGGAGAGAAAGTTATAAGAATTATCCCCATAAATAGAAAGGCACATATGTACACGCATATAAAGATAAATAAACGCTCGCTGACTATCACCAGAAAACAATACAGCAGTTATTAACCACTGCATATAAGCCAATCACTTTACACTTACCTGACATTCCAAAAAAACAAAACAAAACAAAAACTTGATTTTATCCACAGATTGTAACAACCCATTCAGGAAGCAAATCAGTGTGAAGCTTGCAAAGCAGGATAATTTGTGGTGTCACTTATGCAATGTGTTTGCTGTAGAAAGCATGTGTTCATGTGCAGCTTTATTGGAAAAAATATTTCCAGTCAATAAACAGACTACTTTGTCTCCACTTTCATAATTAATTATAACAAAAAGTAATTTTCAATAAGTGGCCCTGCGTTTGCGGAAAATATACTGTGAATCAGATCTGAGTAGGACAATGTCTCATCTGTTCTTTAATGAGACAAAGCTTACTGCTCACTACCAAGGTAACAAATCTGCCACACCAACTGCCAGTGATAATTCTGAATGTGTCAGAACTATAAATAAAGTTTATAACAGAGAAAAAAACAAACACTCTGAGCTATGAGATGCCAGCCTCACTAACACAAAACTAAATAGTTACATGCTAAGTATTTGCTAACACCATCAAATAACAGGAAACCTCAAATGCAGACACACTTATGTATTTGAGACATAGTGGAGGAGTATACTACCTTCACATTTAAATTTAGTGGCACAGGAAAAGCTTCTTTAGACCAATTAGTTATCTTAAGTCTGAAAAATGTGTTTGTGTGTGTGTGTGTGTGTGTGTGTGTGTGTGTGTGTGTGTGTGTGTGTGTGTGTGTGTGTA